CAACAGAGTCTGGTGAAAGCAAATCAACAGAGTCTGGTGAAAGCAAATCAACAGAGTCTGGTGAAAGCAAATCAACAGAGTCTGGTGAAAGCAAAAATACAGAGACTAAGGAAAGAAAAACCATGGAGTTGCGGAAAAGAAAAACAGATTCTGACAAAAAACAAACAACGGAGTCGGACAAACAAAAAACAACTAAGTCCACTACATCAAAAGCGCCACAAGCGGACACAACTACATCATCACAGAGCAACACAAAAACCGGTCCGCAGAGCAACGCCAGTAAAGCTGCCACACTGTCCACAGACAATAAGGGTAAACTTCTTATATTTAAAAACACCTCATCTTAAAACTATTATAGACTGTCGATATTTTCTTGGATGAGTCATTTTCATACCTGCAGAGAAGATGATGTCAGTCATCAGGCTCTTTAATTTTGAAATCCTAAACTTGGGGTAAAATTAATTGGATAGTTCCAATTAGATTTCCTCATTATTAAACTCTGGAATATTAGAGACAGTTGACTCTAAACAAACATGAATTTATCTGTAAATGTGAACATTTTGGGCCTTTTTTTTTTTTTTGCACTGATAGGAGGAGCTCCTGTTGACGGTCAGTCCCAAAAAACTACAGATACTCCTCCAAAAGTGCAACATGTAGAGATCACTGTGAATATGAGCGTCCTGGCCAGGAGGAGAACATTGAGCTGGAAACCAGGGAAAGTTATAGAAATAATAACAAAAGGTAAAAACATAACCACCGTGGTTCCAGTACTCAGAAAATGGACTCCACTCTAGATCATCATTGCAGTTATTTATTTTTTGTGTGTTGCTTGTAAAAACATCAGCTGCCTTTGTTGTTTCAGGAGATGGGAAGGTGAAATACAAGGTTATTTTTGAAGAGAAGGGGAAATGCCTTGTGTCCAGTCACCACATCGCCCCTGTTACTCTGCCACTGCTGGACAACCTGTTTGTCGGTGCTCGTGTGGTGGTGAAGAGTGAGAGCGACCAGGCAGACTTCCAGCCTGGGATACTGACAGAGGTCCCCAACAGGAAAAACCGCATGAGGTTTGTCGGTATTTCTGAACACAAACAAACTCTCTTGTCCTGTAAGAAAAGTAGTTTTAATATTTACTTTTGTAGATTCCTGGTCTTCATTGATGATCACACTCCGGTCTACTGTCCCTTACCTTCACTTCGCTTGGTGTGCAAACCATGTAAGTTTCACACAGTTAATCTTTTTGGAACATAAAAGATCATTTATATACTTTTTAACTTTACGTTTGTATGATAATCAGGGGTGGAAATTAGTGCTTGCCACTGGCCAATTGTAGGTATATGTATGAAGTGGCGTGTCAATTTATTCAATGCACAAGCTACCAAGGCAGGTTTGCAATTTGAAAAATCTGCTTCATTGCGGTTGAAAACTGGGGAGCAAAAATCAAGGTCTGTGGTAATGAGAGATAACAGAAATAAAACCAGAGTCCTCAAAAAGCCATGTATTCAATTTTGACTGTCTTGGCACTAGAATAGTTTTACCCAAACCCCACTATCTTTTGAGAACTGTTTAACATAATTGAACAGAACTTTCAGTTCTTTCCTTTGACACAAAAATGGGTTTGAGGAGAAAAAAGATTACACCTGTTGTGAATTTTAAACTTTGAATTCCAGTACTTAATTGTAGGCACACAGAAATGTTAAATTAGAGACCATCAAGGACCATGAATCGTCTAAATACCTCAAGGTTACACACAAAAAAGAAAAATGGTGGCTGGTAAAATGTGTGTCCGATACTAAATAAAAAAAATTCCACTCCTTAAGATAATGGAAAAAAAGATGCATTCAGTCTTTAAAAAGCTCATTATTGATTGAAATCCGTCCGTCCGTCCGTTTTCTGTCACTTATCCGGGGTCGGGTCGTGGGGGCAGCAGCCTAAGCAAAGAAACCCAGACTTCCCTCTCCCCAGCCACTTGGGCCAGCTCATCTGGGGGAATCCCAAGGCTGGGTCTTCCTCTGGGCCTCCTCCCAGTGGGACATGCCCGGAACACCTCACCAGGGAGGCGTCCAGGAGGCATCCTAACCAGATGCCCGAGCCACCTCAACTGGCTCCTCTCAACGTGCAGGAGCAGCGGCTATACTCTGAGTCCTTCCCGGATGACCAAGTTTCTCACCCTATCTCTAAGGGAGAGCCCAGACACCCTGTGGAGGAAGCTCATTTCGGCCGCTTGTATCTGCGATCTTGTTCTTTCGTTCACTACCCAAGGTTTGTGACCATAGATGAAGGTAGGAATGTTGACCGACTGGTAAATCAAGAGCTTCGCCTTCTGGCTCTGCTCCCGCTTCACCACGACAGACCGGTAAAGTGCCCGCATCGCTGCAGACGCAGCACCAATCCACCTGTTGATCTCTCGCTCCATTCTTCCCTCATTTGTGAACAAGACCCCAAGATACTTAAACTCCTCCACTTGGGGCAGGACCTCCTCCCCAACCCGGAGGCGGCATGTTACCTTTTTCAGGCTCAAGACCATGGTCTCGGATTTGGAGGCACTGATCCTCATCCCGGCCGCTTCACACTTGGCTGCAAATCACTCCAGTGAGAGCTGGAGATCACGATCTGATGAAGCCAATAGGACCACATCGTCCGCAAACAGCAGAGACGCAATCCTAAGGTCACCAAAACGGATCCCCTCAACACCTTGGCTGCACCTAGAAATACTGTCCATAAAAGTTATGAACAGAATCAGTGACAAAGGGCAACCTTGGCGGAGTCCAACTCACCGGAAACAAATCTGACTTACCACCGGCAATGCGGACCAAGCTCTGGCACCGGTTGTACAGGGACCTAACATTATTATTGTTATGGACAATCCATGACGAGCACAGAAGTCCAATAACAAAACACAGCTTGCGTTCAGCCCGGGGGGATGGGGGGTGCTTCCTCTCAACCACGCCTCTCCAGGTCTCACTGTCATTACCCACTTGAGCGTTGAAGTACCCCAGCAGAACGAGGGAGTCCCTGTTAGGAGCGCTCCCCAGCACCCCATCCAAGGACTCCAAAAATGGTGGGTAATCTGAACTGGTGCTAGGCGCATAGGCACAAACAACAGTCAGGACCCATCCTCCCTCCCGTAGGCAGAGGGAGACTACCTGCTCCTGGCTATCGCTCCTGGCCCAGTCTCTTTCCGACGTTTTCCTCACAAAGCTGGAACCACGACTCCGGGACTAAACCTCGCAGCAGGAACCTCATCCAAATCCCCCTGGTTCCACCGCAGGACCCCACCAGCTCTTCACCGCTCCGGATGCTTCTTCTAAACACGAGATCCATCTCCAACAAGGCTCTTCTGCTGAAAGACCTGTTCCACTCTAAAGATCTTGACTTTATGTTCCTGGTCGAAACTTAGCAGAAGAAGGATGATCATTTCCACCTAAATGAACTTCGCTCTCCCGATGACGCGGTGGTCGTGACGCCTCGGCTGAATCGGCGCGGTGGAGGTCTTGCAGCCTTACATCGGGACAGTTTCCTTTGCCGGCTGGTAAGCACAAGGACCTTTTCATCGTTTGAATCACAGACCATTAAGGTCGGATCTTCACAAACTTTTTACTGTATCCTGATTTATCGCCCCCCTGGACCAGCTACAAACTTTCTTAAAGAATTTGCAGATTTTTTATCCTCCGTCATAAAACTGGACCGCCTTTTACTGCTTGGTGACGTTAACTTTCACTTTGATGCTACAGATTGCGAGACCCGTGATTTAATCTCCATTCTGCATTGTTTTAACCTTATTCAACATGTTTCATTTCCCACTCACCAGCGTGGTCACATGTTGGACTTGGTTTGTTCTCTGGGCTTGAATGTAAAGAATGTGTCTGTTGAGGACTTGCAAATTAGCGACCATTTCGGTGTGTTTTTTGATGTTAATTCTGTCTTGGAGCCCCCTCCCCCTAGAGAGCAGATTCTGAAAAAGATTCTGAAACAGGATGCTGTTGTCACTTTTTCTGCCTCTTTTGACCCATCTGTCCTGGCTGATATAAACCAACTAGATGATTTTATCAATTTATTTGACTATCATTGTTCAACTGTTTTTAATGACAGTACTGTAACAACCACTAAAACCTCTACTGTTAAAACACCTACTCCCTGGATAAATGAGACCATCCGCTCTGCTAGACGCAACTGTAGACAGGCAGAGCATCTGTGGAAGTCATTCCGCTTAGACGTGCACAGTCTTCACCTTAGAGATCTTAGATTATCACTGCAGACCATGATGAAAAAAGCTAGGTCTCAATACTTTGCTCAGTTGGTCTCCCGCTTTGAGAAAAACCCCAGAGCCTTATTCAGCACCATTGACACGTTGGTTTCCCCAGTCATTTCCTCTCCCACCGCCCATTCTCCTGCCAGTCTCAACAACTTTCTAACACACTTTGTCGTCAAAGTTGAGAAAATCCGGTGCAGCATTTCAACTCAACCCTCTCATGCTCCATTTCACATAACCATCCCCCCTGAGATCAGTCTCAGTCCTTCCTGATCTTCTTTTGATCTGGTAACTGTGAATAATCTTGGGACCATAATCCAAAAAATGAAACCATCTGCCTCCCCTCTTGACATCTTACCTCCCAGATTCTTAAAAGCTGTTTACGACGTAGTAGGACCCTCACTTACGGACTTGCTAAACCTCTCTCTTACATCAGGATGTGTCCCATGATCCTTTAAAATAGCAGTTGTGGAACCTATATTAAAAAAGCTGTCTTTAAACCCATCTGACCTGAATAACTACCAGCCCATTTCAAAGCTACCATTTTTGTCTAAGGTCTTGGAGGAAATTGTTTCAGTACAACTAACATCGTACTTGGATGTAAATAATCTTTTCGACCACTTTCAATCTGGCTTTCGCAGATCACACTCTACAGAGACTGCCCTTCTTCGTGTATCAAATGATCTGCTGATGGCATGTACTCTGTCCTCCTCTTACTGGACCTTTCCTCTGCCTTTGACACCGTCGATCACACTATTCTACTTCAAAATCTGAAAGACATAGGGATATCCAGGGTTGTGCTAGACTGGTTCACATCATACCTCTCAGACCTCTCTTTCTCAGTCTTATTAGGCCAATCATTCTCTGACTCAGCCAAACTCACCTGCGAAGTTCCACAGGGTTCCATCCTGGGCCCAATTCTATTCCTGCTCCACCCCCCCCCCCCACCCCCCCGACTGAGGTCATCAAAAATTTCCCAGACGTATCCGACCACTTCTATGCAGATGACCTGCAGCTATACTGCTCCTTTTAATGACTCCACCACCCACAAGCTAACCTCTCTCATAAATTGTGTCACTAAAGTTAACCAGTGGCTGTCTGATAATTTGCTGCTCTTAAACCTCAGCAAGACAGAGACCTTGATCCTGGCCCCTGATAATATAATCCCTAAGATAAAAGAACATCTCGGCTCCTTGAGTTCAACTGTCCAGCAGAATGTGCGCAACCTGGGAGTAAATCTTGACTCAGATCTGTCTCTAGATAAACACATAAAGAATCTGGTTTCCACATGCTACTTCTTCGGAATATCTCTAAATTCTGACCCCTGTTGTCTACTTCAGACTTGGAAATGGTAATTCATGCCTTCATTTCTAGCCGCATAGACTATTGTAATAGCTTGTTCACCTGCCTAAACCAGAAATAATTAAATCGCCTTCAGCTTGTCCAAAACTCTGCAGCAAGACTCCTAACTCGAACCTCCAAATTCACCCACATCTCCCCAATTCTAGCAGAACTTCACTGGCAGTTCAGAATCCGGTTCAAAATCCTGGCCCTCACTTTCAGAGCTTTTCATGGCCAAGCCCCAGAATACATTAAAAGTCTCACTTCCCCTTAAAACCTCAGACGGGACCTCCGCTCACAGGATCAAAATCTCATTATGGTTCCCCTCACTCGCTTTAAGACGCGTGGTGACCGGTCCTTCTCCTCTGTGGCCCCTAGGCTCTGGAATTATCTCCCTTTTAATCTGCGCTCCGTTGATAACATTGTCTCCTTCAAGAAACACCTAAAAACCCACTTTTTTACTCAAGCGTTTAGATAACCATTCACCATTAATGCCAACCTACCTTCATAGTGAATGCTCGCCAACTATGTGTTTTTCTATGATTGAACATCAGGCATATTTTTTTCTCCTCCATTCTCTCTGTTTTGTGTATTATTTGTATATTTTGCTCTGCATTGACCGTGTGTCCGAGTTATAATTTTAGAATTTAATCTAGATTGGATGTTTCATTACGTTGCTTATGTTTTATTATGTTTTATTCTGTTTCATTTTGTCTTTCCACCATTTTACATTGTTAATGATTGTACAGCACCATGTGAATATATTTTTTGTGAAAGGCGCTTTATAAATAAAACTTTAATTACTTACTGACCGACCAACCCTCCCTCCCGTTCACCGGGGTGAACCCCAACGTACAGGCACAGAGATGGGGGGCAAAAAGTATGCCCACCTACCTACCCACCTACCCTCTCGTTCACTGGGGTGAACCCCAACGTACAGGCACAGAGATGGGGGGCAATAAGTATGCCCACCACCCACCCACCTACCTACCTAGCCACCTACCCTCTCGTTCACCAGGGTGAACCCCAACGTACAGGCACAGAGATGGGGGGCAATAAGTATGCCCACCACCCACCTACCTACCTACCTACCCACCTACCCTCTCGTTCACCGGGGTGAACCCCAACGTACAGGCACAGAGATGGGGGGCAATAAGTATGCCCACCACCCACCCACCTACCTACCTASCCACCTACCCTCTCGTTCACCAGGGTGAACCCCAACGTACAGGCACAGAGATGGGGGGCAATAAGTATGCCCACCACCCACCTACCTACCTACCTACCCACCTACCCTCTCGTTCACCGGGGTGAACCCCAACGTACAGGCACAGAGATGGGGGGCAATAAGTATGCCCACTCCTGCTCGGTGCCTCTCAGCATGGGCAACTCCAGAGTGGAAGAGTGTCCAACCCCCGATTGATTGAAAGCACAAACAAAATTTGTAATGCAAGTAGATGTAAAACTATAGCTAATATAAAATCCTTATTTTTTTAGGGGTAGAGAAGTGGGGCGGGGGTGGGCGTAATTATTTACTTTCCAGGCACATAGTTCAATTGTGAACCACAATCAAGTAACTATAATACTGTCAGTTATAAATATTCTGTATGTATCAAAAATAAATTTGTGTCTAAATGCTTTAAAATGACCTCTGTCTTTTTAAGAACCTCCTACCGTTTCTAACACTCCCACTTAAGCACGTCTTCACAACAATGGTTTAGGGAAGGGGTGCTCTATGGGGTGGGAGCTCGGCTGCAGACTGAACTCCAGGCAGGGGCTATATACAAAAGGGCGGTGCTTTCTTTAATACTACTCTGCAAGCTAAATAAACAAGTAACAAAGATAAACATTCACATCTGTGTTTTCACACACAACATTCCCATCCACAAGCCATGAATTCAGTTAAAGTAGATAAACACAAATCAATAGCATTAATATATCATTAATTAAATGAACCATAATTTCTTGAATCACAATTTGACCAACAAGCCTGTTGTTCTATTATCATTTCGTCTTGACAGTGGAAGACCCTTTGGATGACATTCCTGATGAAAACCACAGGAGTTACATGAGGGGTTATTTGAAGTCGTGGCCTTACCCTCCGCTGACGCAGTACAAGGTTGGACAGATGGTGAAAGTACATTATAACGATGCTCTGGAGAAGTGTGAGGTCTTGGAGATTGACTGCAGCTTGATTCGAGTCGTTTTTCCAGTCAGTACCCAATAATTTTTTTTGAAGTATTTTTACTATATTTTTTACATACATGTTGATGGTGTGACTGAGTTGTTTCTCTGTTATCGTGTTTAAGTGTGATCAACAAAAAGAGTGGATCTTCCGAGGCTCCATGCGCCTGGAACACATAATTAATATAAATAAGGACATGCTGACCAAACCGAATGGAGAGAAGAATGAGCCTTCCTAAGTTATGGTAAATAAATCTGAAAATGCTTTGTAGATAATGTTTATTTATTTTTTTAATTTTCTGATTCCCCCCACCCTTCTTTATATTCTTCAGGATGCTGAAGAATCCAAGAAATAACCTGGTGAACCTGTTTCAAAACAGCACAAAGTTACTCTTTGGTGCATTTGTTGGAAATGTTTTTTTTTTTTTTTTTAGGTTTCCCCTGATATTTGGTGAGGCACAAAATAGAAAGAGTACTTATTTGGTCATGAGTTTGCCTGTTCTTCCAGCTGTCAGTTTTGATAAAAGGTTTTTAAATGTTTTAATTAAAAATATATAGATTTGCTGCTTCCTGTTTGGGAGCAATCGGGGTTTGTTTCTGGGGAACACTATTCTCAAATGTTCTGTTAGAACATTTGAATGTTTTTTGGGATTCTGTGATGATGGAAAAGCTTGTTTTCAGTGTAACCTTTGGTCCATAAACATCTGAAAAAATTTGATTAGATTGTCAAACTACTACGTGTACTACCTCAGTAAAGTTTATTAAAAAATTTCAAACTTTTCATTTGATTTATATTTGTGTAGTTTTTTTTAAATAAACTTGATTGTTTAATAAATGTTTTTTTTTTTTTCTTCAAGTCAATACGAAATGTCTATAAGATATGATT